AATATGGATAAGACAACCACACAGAGAAAATCCAAATGGTTGTGACCCTGAATGATCAGGTCTTTGCTTGCAGTGGAAAAGGTCCTATTTCCCCTATTTCAGATTTCTGTCAATGTTGTTTCTGGACAGGATGGCAAGCTCTGGCCATTCAAATATTAGAGCTGTCCAAGGAACCAAGTCCCGCTAATAGTATAATCCAGACAGTAAGAGCCAAGAACAAATGCAAGTTTAACCAAGGTCAATGCAAAATTACACACCTTGCAAACATTCAAGAAGTTTGGTGCTCCTTCTCTTTACGGTGCCAGCTGTCATTGCCACTTGGCATACAGCAGATGCCTCCCCAACCCTATTAGAGAGACCCTTCCTCAACCCAGGCGCAAAGACATCAAAGGGGAAAACAGAAAGACCACTACCTGCTACTTCCACAATGTGGTGCCTGGCAATATCATAGTAGGGATCATCCCACTGCAGGTGAGTGACGGGCTCAGGGGAACCTTTGGAGTCCTCTGCACAAAACACAAGGAACAAGCAGTTAGACAAAGGGATGTGGAGCACCTTGGCGAGGGGTACAATAAAGACAGACGGATGAGAAAAAAATGGCTCTTCAACATAGGAAGGACTAATGTATGCACCTGTCCACCTCAGAAATTCTGAGTGCAGCAATAACTTCAGAAGAGACCTGGAAATCTTATGAGGTCCAAATGTGTCTCTCAGATTGTCACACTGTCTCAAAAATGACTGTTCAGATGTGTCACAAACATTCATAAAGACCAAAACCCAAGTTCCAAAGGCACCATCATGGCTTTTTTTAATATTGTCCCTTGACGGATGGCTGTCCTACATGCCCTTGAGCTAACTTCCCCAACCTTTTTGGGCAGCAGTCCGTAGCACAGGATTTCAGAGCAACAACCCAGATCTCCAGCCCCACCTCCCACATGGAAGTTCAAGATCCTTCCACTCAGGAAGGCCAAACTATCCTGCAGGAGACCATAACAGAGCACACTCTAGGACTTACAGCATGTCTCTGCTGTCAGCACCAAAGTGCAGCCAGCCACAGGACTGAGAAGAGCATATTTACATCAGCTGGCTCTGAGCTTCTTAGTGCTGTTCAATGGCAGGGCTAATTCACCTGGGCGTGGTGCAAGATTAATGAGTCTATAAAGCTTTTAAATGGAGCTGGGGCTCTCTGCATATGTAGATATGACCACTATGCTGCAGGACAAACAATTCCTTTTTGGCCAACACCCAGACCCCAAACAAGCACGATACTTACCTGATTTGGGAAAATCAGGGGCTTCGTCTGCTGGCCAGCTCTTATCATCTATGGAGGCCAGTTTGAGCTGGCTGAGGGACTGGTTGGTATCATCCAAGTTCAGGTCATCCTGAAGCTCCGAGAGCGGGTCTGTAGCCATGGTCCCCAAATACCACAGTTTATTGTGCAACGTCTAGAACGAGGACTGCAGAGATTGCTAGGTGAGACACACAGATCACAAGTTTACCTCCCCACAGAGGCTCTTCCTCTTCTCACCGATTTCCCCAAATCCTCCCTCATCTTCTCCAGAGATCATACTTCCCCTCCCCCTTAACACAGGCAGGAACTCTCCTCCTCCAAGCCAGAAGCACTAACATATGTCTGACATATGTCAGATTCTCTCATGCCAGCAGCTATCAAAAGGCCATCAGGAGCCTGCACCAACCCTCTCAGGGAGTCTCTGCGTGACCACAGCTCTGTCCAGAGCAGTTTCTCTCCTGAAGCAGAATGAGCAGCAAGACGCTGAGGAAGACGACAGGCTACACCAGCCCCTGCCTGACACACGCACAGTACCAGCTCCGCGCTCCCCCTCCCTCCCCAGGGCTGGCACAAAGCCCAGCTGTTCCCACTGTTGGCCCAGTGCTGGAAGCTTTCCCAGGAATCACCCCCCTTCTCCCCAGCAGGGAGGGCCACAGCTCTCAGCAGCACTGAAATGGGTGCTTCAGTGCCCTGGGATCTGAACACAGAAATGAACAGCTTCTTAAAACAGGATTTCGTAGGCTGAGCTAGTAAGACAGGGAGAACAACACACATACAACCCTCATCTCTTTTCGGCACCACCCAGCACCCCTTTCTCCTACATGACAGCAAGCAACACGGAATCACCTCTTTAATGTAAAGCCATATTGTCAGGACAAGTACTTTTCACCAAGCATGCCATAACACTGAGGAGACCAAGGAATTAAGAGGGTCCGAGAAACAGACAGCTCAGTGTGTTTGCTGTTGCTTGCAAATATCTCTCACTGTCACCTGGAGCAGAACATAGGTCAAACCCAGGACTGAGCTAGCACAGCATACAGCACCTCCTAAGGGTACCAGCTCCTAGGGATGACCCGTAGGAGACAGCTGTCCTCCTCTAAAGTCAGCGTCCTGGAAATCAGCAAGGATACACTAGAAAGGACAAGTACGTAGCTCCGGATTGCTCACACAGACCACATGGAAAGTAATTCAGCAGACAACAGGCAGCAATCCAAGAGGAACTGCAGCAAAACAAAATGACACCTTGCATCAGCAAGACTCTCTGTAATGCTGTTTCTCAGACAGACTTCTGCTTGTTTTGCATTACGAGGAGAGCAAAGCGTTCAAAGATGACCTGAGAAGGCTCAACGCCTTTGTGTGGAAAGATGATATTCACAGTAAAGCTATTTCCTTTAGCAGAATGGAGGAGGGCAAGGATGTTCTGCATCTTCCATCCCTAGAGCTTGATGATGAAACAGTTACTTGGATGTGAGCACAGAGAACAAAATCTGTGAGAGCCTGAGCACAAGAAGGCATCACGTCGATGCTCGGGGCAAAACTTGTGACCACGCTTGGGGATGCATTTTGAGAATACAGGAAATTGGACATTCAGTGTTTGTCCTCTTCCTCTGGATCACTACATGCTCACTACTTCCTGTCCTCCCTTATCTGTTCCCAGTTTACAGCCAGTTTTCACCTCTCTGGGGCTCCCAAAGGGCTGGGAGCTGTTGCTAAGCAAATGAAATTAGATTCCCGACACAGGAAAGAGCAAGACATATAAAGGCAGCAGATCACCAAGACAGCAAGGCAAACACACAGGGTCAACCACTGCAGCCAAGCAGAGACCCAAGCAAAATTATTCCCCATCCTCCAGTGAGGGCTGCGAGAGCTGTCTGACCTCTTCTGATCTCAAAGGGACCAGGAGCAAGAAATCAGGTTCCCTTGCACTGTGAGCTCACGCTGGAACCACGCAGCAGCAGAGCCAAAGGACAAGGACTCCCCACCCCAAGCAGCTGATCCAATTTCTATGGTAACACCAGGCGCCAGCTCCTGTGACTCAGTGTGCTTAAAGCACTCCCCGCTGCAGCTCAGCAGCCACACAACCCAGCACCCCACGCTGAGGGAGCACCCACGGCTCCCCAGGGCAGCCCCTCAGCATTCCCAGCTCCCAGGGGCTCCCCAGCCCTGGTGGGGACAGAGCTCCTACGTTCAACCGCTGCCATCCGCGCAGATGCCTTTCACGTGAGATTCTTGGGGGTGCCCAGTACAAACAGTGTCCCCAGAGTGAGGTCCTGAAGCGCTTAGGGACCAAAGCCAAGCCTTCCCACAGAGCAGTGATGGTACGGCCACAGGGTCAGCAAGACACCAAGCATCCTCACTTGTCCCTAACACGGATCACAACGTGGCTTCACAGCCAACTTGCAGCGCTTGACCAGAGGCAGAAGTGCCTGCGCTTATTAGACGGCACGTGGGGATTTCCCCTTCAGCACAAAACGAATCCTAGTGTGGCACTATGTGGGAGAAGGAACTCCTTAGTAGGATCCTCACAGTTCCACACTGAAAAAAGAGCCCAGTGGATAGAGCTCTTGCCAAAACCTTCCCTACTCCTTGGACAGGCAGACCGGACTCCCCAGATACCTCCAAGCGCTTTTCACAGCCAGACATGCAGCTCCGCTCCTTGGCACTAGGACAGTGCTCCGTGGCAGAAATGTTCATGGAAGGAGGATCCAGAGCAGAAGACCTCTTAGATTTTGGGTCCTTCTTGTGAACCAGACTGTAGCCCCCACAGAGCTTTAGAAGGCTTTTGCAGAATTTTCCCAACAGTGCAAAAGACAAAAGCTCAGGTTCTCACATCAGGTTACCCTGGAACAGTTTAGAGAAATATAATCCTCTAAATGCCTGGGAACTAGTAGGCACTGAGAAGGAGACCTGGAGTCAGGACGTAAGAAACTACTTGTGGATCTTAGTAGAAAGGTATGCACCTTCTTTCCTGACAGTGCAGCTGCATGAGATATTTCCCCCATGTGCTCAAAAATGGCCCACGAGTAGGACCTGCCACCGAACAGAAAGTCCATCCTGGATCAGCCGAAGGGTGAAACGGTTGTCAAAACTGAGCATTTCACCAGACACAACACAATTTAAGAACCCCATTTGGTTTAGATAAATGTCACGACAAGATGCAACTGATACACCCTGTATAGCCGATCATAAGGTAAGAAAAATGATATACCTAGATTTAAAAAGTAAAAACCCTGGTCAAACATTTAAAAACTAAAGAATCACACTTGACATCAGCAGCATTTACTTACTGCCAGGCTTTAAGGAGCCGTCTGTTTCCATTTTTCCAAGCAGTTAAGTATGTTTTCTGCACCTACACTGGTTGACCTGAACAACTGCTAATCAAAATTTACTGTCTTGATAAGAAAGACACGTGCTGTAGAACAGCATGTTCTGCTGGCGGAGAGAAACCTCAGCCCTTTGCAATTTTTACACAAATTCTGAGCTGAAGAGTCCTTACACGAGATCCCACCAGAATTTACCCAAGGAAGACAGTTCACTTGTATCTATGAGGTCCTGGTAGCCGCTGCTCACACAGACTATTTTTTTCTGCAATTCCAGTTTCACTACTTTTCCATCATTTATTTCTAAGCTGCACCTACTTGAGAGTTTCCTTTTCCTGTTTTCCTTCCAGATGTACTATTAATTCAGAAGTAAATCTGCACATCAGAATATGTCCAAGCGTGTGTTACCACGCCCTCGACCTCATTACACACCACAAAAGCCCAGCGGCCTCTCCTTCCTGGTCCGACGATGCTCAGACCCGAAGGAACCCCGGTTCTGGGGTGAACGTATTATCTCTCCGACTCTGCTGCCACCTGCACCTGCTCCCGGTTTCGTCCCGTTTGCAGGAGCGTCTGTTCTTCCGCACGCACCAACCGAGTCCCCGCGCTTTGCTGTAGTCCTAACGCCAAGCACGCTGCGGAAGCAGCTGCTCCGCAAGCCGACCTTCCCTGCGCGAACGAACCCCCGGACCGAGAGGCGCGGAGAAAGCCCAGCCTGAGGCTTCCCCCCC